TGTGTGGCTGAGCAGCCGCAGTTCAAAGCAGATGTGTTGAGTGCTGTTGAGTCAGCAAAGTCAAGTAGATCATTGCAGAACTTGCTGTCCATCCCGACGGGTCAGTTCAGCAACAAACCCTACAACAAGTTTGTTGAGACGTTTGTGACGGGCATGACCTCCAGCACGTTTGCACTTGACTTCTCCGTTGCCGACCGCCGCACAGTTCTTCAAGCGCAAGCCATGGAGTCTCTCTATGCTGCTGCTAACTTGAATTACTGTGCAGAATTCCATGTTTTGCTCCAGGCGATAGTGTACAGCATCACCCAAAGCAAGACAACCCTCGACATTTTTGGTCACCTAGGGTCGGGGGGGAGTTATAAGCTCGTGAAAGATTGGTTGGCTGGGTTGGGTGGTAGCGAGCTGCAAGTTCCTGAAGGGTTCGTGAGTGTTGGGTTTGACAATGAGCAACGACAACTTAAGTCGTACCTCTCCCGTGGCAGCAATCGTTCCACGTATGAGGTTCTGACCAATGTTGTCTATGCCCGTCATTCCCATGTTCCTTCCCAAGAAAAGGGAGATTTCCATTTCCGAAATTGGAAATTTCCAACTGTCACTGAGATTCAATGTGCAATAGATCAGGTACCGGATCCTCTAGATCAAGAATCTTTGATTAAGCCACACTTGCTGAGTTTCATGAACAAAAGGATTGAAGCTCTTGTGTCTGAGCAGAGGCTATCAGCTGACCCAGTTGATAGCCATCTTGCATCATTGGAACGAGAAAGACGGTACCTGATCTGCCCTAAATGTTGCACACAGATGGAGCGCAGGCTGCATTTGTGTCCCAATGCGACATGCAGGGTAAATGTTAGGCAGGCATTGCAAGCTGACCAAGGCAAATCAGTGGTGTCGACCGAGCACATCAAAGTCACCAAGCCAGGCACACTAAAGTCAGGCACCGAGTTTGTGTATGTACCGCATGTGGACAGCAGTACCGGTGTTTCGTTAACCAGAGTGTCCTCAAAGACCAGTGGTGAAGATGTGCCCCTTGTGTCCCCGGCAGATGTTGGGTTTCTAGAGCCCATTTTTGTCAACCCCAACTCCCATGAAGCTGTTCGCATTGTATTGCGCGATGTTGGGAAGCGTGCAAGGGTAAAACAATGTGTAGGTGACGAGGGGGTGAGGGAATGGCTCACTGTTGTGTGTGACGGCTTGCCGTACTCCCTCATATTGACTGTGATGGAGGAGGCAAGGCGTGATGCAGCCAAATTGGCTAACCATGAAGCAGGAATATTGCATGTCGACTCAATGTCGAAGGCTGACCTGAAGAGTGCATGCAGTACAAGGGGCTTGGGTGTAACAGGGAACATGAGTACGTTACGTGAGAGGCTGAGGAAGTTTTTAGATGATCTGGTTGAGAAGGGTGAATTGATGCCCCCAACAAACATTCCTGATGGGGAGTTTGATTGGGTACTACCCATTTCAGGTGGCTTGCACTGGGAGATGAACATCATCCAGTGCATTGTCAAGTCTCTGTGGCCATTTGCCTATAAGGAGTTCGCTATTAGCCAGGGATATACTTCTCCTAAGCAATTGGATTGGGCCTTCAAAGCCAAAGACCACCACCGCACATACGATGAGCTGAGCCGTTTCACGGATGGCTGCTTTGACGAACTTCTGCGGCCATATGTACTCGCCCAGGAATCTGGCAGCAACACCCCTTCAGCAGAGGGTTTCTTCGTTTGGTGCAAGCAGTTCACCAACAATCATACGTATTCCTGGCTGCTGGAGCTGTGCACTCAGTACTGCTTTCCACTATTCATGCTTCGGCGGGGAGCACGGCACAACGACGTACCACTGTTCATTGAGTCTCGCAGAGTTCTCTCTCCATTGCTGCATGCGAGGAATCACACAACATATCAAGTGATTGACATGTCCGAGGAAGTCCGTCGCCTCTCGCTCTCAACAGATTTGCGAAGTCTCATTGACAGCACTCTCTTCCTCAGCAGGTCAGGAAAGGGTGACCTCCACCAGGCACTTGATGCTATCGTCGAAGAGCTAAATGCCAATGTGAAGTCATGGGTGTCAGGGGAGAAAGACTCCAACATGTGGCGCCGGGTGATCCGTAACCATGAGCAGCTCATGAAGCTCCGCTCCAAAGTATTCAGTGCCCTACAGCTGCCAGATCCCAAGTCGGAATCGAGAGCCCGTCCCGGTTATGCTAAGGAACTTCTGGTGTGGCGTGCGCGTCTGAGAACAATGTTGGTTCCCAATGGTGAGCTAGCGTTTTCAAGACCACTGCAATCCTTCAGTCCTGGTGAGGAATTGGTGCCGGATGCTGTGAACCTCACTGCTGTGGGTAAAGCCAGACGGAAGCAGCTAGCGACATTATTTGGAGATGGTGCCTATCCGCTGTCCAGGCAGTCTCAGCCACCACACTTTCTGACCACCGAAGAGGCCGAGAAACACGGGAGTGATACGAGACGGACTATGGCTTCCCTCAGGAAAGAATTCCAGCAGCTACTACATCTCGCGCCCGACAACAATGCCGCCTCTGCATTGTGCGATGAACTGGAGCAGGCTTCCACCCAGCCAGCAGTGTTGAAGGTCGTGCGCCAGATGCGGGATATGGTTTCGTGCATGGCTGACGGCGGCAATGCAGCTGATGATATGCCTCCATGAGTGGTGAGTGCTTTGTGCCTTGCATTTCTTTCGCCACTTTCATCCATTGGTGTGCGGTTTATGTGCTTTTGTCTATTCAAAGGTACATTCGGACACACTCATATTGACTTTTCTGTGCAATAAATTTATTTCAGTTAGTAGACATGTGTGTCTTTATGTGTCTTGTACAGTGTTCCAACATGCAAAGAAAAGATGTTTGCCTCGCTCGAATGCAGTCCGATTGTGTCCATAGTATGCATGGATGAGCAATATTTTGCTCAAGTAGCTTTCTGTGTTGTTCTTGTGTGTGCACTTTCCTTGCAGTGACTGCTTCACAGTCGGTGTACTCGCCAAGGGAGGGCTGGTCCTGGCTTCCGTAGTTCTTCAATGTGCATTTTGCGTCATGCCACACACTTTGCATTGTCAAGTGCGAGCGCTACACTTCTTATTGACACCATGTCTTCTCCATTTATATACTTTCCACTTCATTGAGCAGCTGGCTCAAGCAGTGGGAGACTCCAGTGCAGAGACGCTGTACCTCGAACAAGGGTCGTGGCTACCTCGAGTCGCCGTGGTCTTATCCGTTACTCCTATGTCGCCGTTGGGGATATACACCCGGTTTTTTCCCTCACTACTGCGTCCGTCAGCGCGAGGGTTTTTTCCCGGCTGGCTCGGTCCAGGAATTAATCTGACGGCCCCAAGTGGTTCTGCATCATGGCCCGGCTATCACCATGATCACGGCTATTTCCTCTATTTCCATTTGAGACACTGAGGTGCATGTACATGTGGTACAAACCAGTGCTCCTATTCATAGTGGTTCAGTGTGATGTTTGTGACTACTAGCATTGTTCTGTTGTCCAGAAAGTGTCAATTTCTGATGACGCATACATTATTATTTCAATGTTGACATTCTGAGGTGAATTGATACCAGACTATGGTGTTTGCACACAACAAGTATCCAACAGGTGATGTTTGAAGGACCAGCAGTCCAAATTTTATTTTCATTCTTCAGTGGGGCTCGTGGTGGAATCTGGGGTGTTCATCGCGGTGGGATATGAACTGCTTCTTGCAGAGCATGCCACTGGGTCAGCTCTTGCTGTTGTGACACTTGAGCTGGTTGAGGGCAAAATCTCGTCCACAGGATGCGAGCTGTACGTGTGTCGAACTCCAGAAGGAGCGACCACCACGACCAAAACCTTGGCTCCACTTCCAACATGCAACTCTGCGGCCTGCAGAACACAAATGAAGCGAAGTCTTCATGACAAATTGCGCAAGTTCAGAATTGCGATGTGCATTCAACTTACCTTTTTTAGGAGTCCATTCTTCCGTTTTGAAAGGAAATTTCTTCTCCTGCTGTCACTTGAAACGAGGCCAGTGACTACACTTTTTCGACTTTTCTTCTCCTGAGCCATTGGGTGTTGAACACTGCGAGGGAGCTTGAAAAATCACCAAGGATCACTCGAGAAAGAAGAAAAGGCTTTCGACTTTTTTTGAATTTGGCGCACAGACCATCGAGCGCGAAGAAAATATTCACCAAAACAGCGTCGTCATCTTTTTTCCGGTGCGGTCTGCCGAGGTAAAAGGGCCGAGGCCGGCAAGGCGGCTACGCGGGCCTACGCGCAGCTACGGATCACCATGATCACCTTGGCGACCAGACAATGTCAAGTGTTCCCTAAACAAGGGATACCCAGGACTGGTATGTGTGAAGCTCAAAGTCACAGCTGCTGGACAATTTCCCGTGGCCTTCTCTGTATTGTCTGCGTGTAACTTATTGTACTCAACCCTTGAGTAGACCGTCTTCCCAGTTTTACAATGCAAGCTGGCGTCGTAATGCGCGTCCGGAAATATTAGAATGCTTTGCTCATGTTTCCTCCTGAAGAAGACTTCGAGTAACGTGTATTGACTTTTGTGATTTGTGAACCTCATCATCAATGGTCCGGTCATGGCAGTGAGTAACAACACAAATTCGTACTTCAGCACAGCACCGGTGCACCCACGAGTAGACTGACTGTAGGCTGAGCGCTGACTGTATCTTCCGCCCAGCATGCAGTCAGCGACCCAGTACTTGCAGTGGAGAACAGCTAGTACAGAAGTAGATCTACAACTTCAAGCGAATCGCCTTCTGACAAGTAGCCACCTGGTAACCGCGAATTCGCGAAGCACGATCCTTGACTCCAAAGGTCCCGGACTGGACCCGGAGAACAGAAGAAATACCGGTAAAAAAGGTGGTAAAAAAGGAGAGGAAATCGGGAACATGATTATTTTTATTGATTATTGATTGCATTTGCAGTTCTGTTTGACCGTTTCCAACATGACCTGTAAGTGTAAGGCATGAAGGCTGTCGAAATCCGTGTGCAGCCAGGCCACACTTGGCTGATTTCTGCTGTAGCTGTTGTTGCTTGGGAGTACCGGTGATTGATTCAGTACATCCTTCAATTCAGTTTGTGAATTATGGCTGTTCCGAGCCTGCCAACTTTCTGTGCTTGTCCTGCACAAAGGAAGAGGTACAATAAGCATAAAGTTAGTTTGCCATCGGCAATGCTGGCACCAGCGAACCTTTGTGCCAACCGGCCGTGATTGTGTTTGTAGTAAAATAATTGTGACGTCTGAATTTCTAACACGACAAGTGTCTTACCGATATCAGGTTCCACCCGGTTTCTGTAGCAGCCATTGGCATTGGGCTCTATCCGTGGGTCTCTCTGCAGTTGTGGAAACAAGAGGTTTCCGTCAATGGAACGCAGCATGATGAATGCAACAGGTGTTGGCTCCTGAGTAGCGCACTTGCCTCCGCGGAAAGCACTCTGGTCCTGTATCATAGAACAAGGCATCCATGTGGGACGTACTCGAACGTAAGAAGTTCTTTGTCACAGTTTGTGGCCTGGCGATGCCTGGGGTTTACATAAGGCCAAAACAAAAAATAGGCTTGTTTCCGGTCGGCAACCCCTCGAAAAGGAGACTCGGTCGGCCGGAATGAAACTTTTTTTGTATATTTTATTTTGGTTCCTCAATTGTTGTGGTATTGATGGACAAGAGCACCTACACATGTACATTGTACATATATCACGGCAAGGATCAATGTCAAAGTTAGTTGACTGCGTACTGACTCACTGTTCTTGTACAGCATGTGATGTATTCCTGTTTTCGTACAACCTGAGAAATCAACGCAAACAGTTCGAGTCCTTCCAGCTCCGTTATTCTAGCTCGTATCGACCCCGGAGGTTTTCGAGCCGACAGCTGAGAATCTCTGCTACCTAGTAGGTGTTTTAATTGTGGAATTCGGTTGAGATTTGATTGAGTTATGACTCGTTGAGTGCACTTGCACACATGGCATTGCCACCGTTTGTATACATTTGGCACCAAAAAAAGTTTCAGAATTTGGGAAAAAGTGGCCCGGTCGGGCGACCGGAAACAAGGTCATTATTTGTTTGGGCCTAATCATTAAAGGGGAAGTTAAGGCAAAAATTAAAATTTCACCAGTTGTAGTCTTCGGGGTGCTGAGTCGAATGGTCTTGGTCCGAGGAAGCTGAGACGCTCCCTTCCTACTTGAATCCCAATCGAACTCGCGCACTTCCACCGAAACTGGGTGACTGCGCCCTACTAGATGGGGATTTGTATGCAAAATGTCACTAAAAGCGCCGTTTCGTTCTTATAAAAGCACGGATGACCGCGATTGGCCCATATGTTGTAGTCTTTGGGACGCTGAGTCGACTGGTTTTGGTCCGAAAAGGCTGCGATGCAGCGTTCCTCCTTTATTCCCAATCGAACATGGTTGAAGAAGCGGTCACGTGCTCCTGGGTGCCCAAATCACCTGGTCACCACGCCAGCAGGTGACAACTTTCACACCAAGGTTCAACTCGGGTTCAACTCGAGTGACAGGACTGCACCCAAAAAAGGTCAAACAGGCTAGTAAGTTGTACCCTGCAGGCACGGTGACCAGGTGACTGGTGTACGCAGGAGCACGTGACCGCTTCTTCAACCATGTTCGATTGGGAATAAAGGAGGAACGCCGCATCGCAGCCTTTTCGGACCAAAACCAGTCGACTCAGCGTCCAAAAGACTACAACATATGGGCCAATCGCGGTCATCCGTGCTTGTATAAGAACGAAACGGCGCTTTTAGTGACATTTTGCATACAAATCCCCATCTAGTAGGGCGCAGTCACCCAGTTTCGGTGGAAGTGCGCGAGTTCGATTGGGATTCAAGTAGGAAGGGAGCGTCTCAGCTTCCTCGGACCACGACCATTCGACTCAGCACCCCGAAGACTACAACTGGTGAAATTTTAATTTTTGCCTTAACTTCCCCTTTAATCAGTAGTAAACTTTTAAGAAATGACTGGGTTATTGACGGTAGTAGGCCAATTAATATTTCAGCCACGTTCATGATCACCAATCTATACGGATACACTGTTACGTTAATTTATTATGTGACATGTGTATAGTGCCCACCGTAACATGTATGCACTGGTTTATTATGATGTGTTACCTCACTGTCAGTGCTGACCTAGTTAGGTTCCATGATGCCAGTGTGCATGTTGCAGCTGTGTACTACTACTAGTACTGGTTTTTGGTGATGTTTCCAGGGCAGCTGTCAGGGCAGCTGTCAGTAACTGGGAAACAGCCTGTTGCTTAGCTGTTGTTAAAATGCTCTGCTTGTTGAACTTCTCCAACTCCCCTGTTTGCCTCCTGGTGTGTTGTTGGCATTCGGCAGTGCTACGGTGACTTTGAACTCCTGTGTCGCTTCAGCGCATGTACTACATGTATTGTGTATGGAGTAACTACTAAAACATGAGCCGTAATCCTGGGAATCTATGTGTTCATTCACGGTAGTAGCACTAGCAACAAGAACAGGAACAGGAATTGCTTATTAGCAGTGTGTGTGTTTGTGCCATCGGATCCACCAATTATCCTCAGTCTATTCTGTGTCATGGCCTAGTGTAGTTATACATGTATTGAGTAACTTCACAATCATCTGCACATACACTATTAACACCACATGCTGGGTAGCTATTCCCAGTATTCTCCAGCAAGCCGTCTTCTAGTTTCCCAACAAGAACACTGTTAAATGGTTTTGTATTGCTAGTCGGCAATGGCAATACAAGAATTGTTACAGCGGGGTTGCGGTAACACGCATTTATGAAATCCCTGGGCAGGGGTATGTGCATGTATCATAATCATAGTGTGTCTGCTGTGAGCTTACACAGACCGGAAATCATGGTCCCATGTGTTCCCAATGCACGCTTTTAAATTAACGCCATACTTGTATGGACTTGTGCTGTGGGTACAGATGGGGCATTTGGGTATTTGATGGCACATGCAGCTGGGTAGCTGTTGGGTCTGGGGGTGAGGGTCTAGTACCCATGTATTACAGTAGTGGCAATGTGATAGCCAAACTCAACACATGCAACCTGTTTGTTCCTATTCTGACCGTTGTGGACGACTGCGGCTGCAGCATGGCCATTGGGTCGTAAACTGGCTGATACATGTGTGCTAGCCAAGGATGATGACTGATGTGCATGGTCATTATTTCTCTACGTGTTCCCAGGTAGAGACATAGCATGACATTGCTGTACATATGGATGACTTAGACTGTGAGAGTCAACATGCACTGGAAAGGTGCAGCATTTTGCCTTGGCAGCGTTGGGGGGGGGGGGGGGGGGGGAGAGAACAGTTTGTATTATTTCAAAATAAGCATTGCAGATTCAGTGTGCATGTATGTACTCAAGGGTGTCGGAACCGCACCGGCCGGGGCGGCCATGGCCGCCCCACTTTTTCGGCCGTTTTTTTTTTTTTTTTTTTTTTTTTTTTTTTTTTTAGCACACTGCAACAAAGCGCGATGATCTCAGCGCAAACGTGGCAAATCCTTGTCCCCGATCGTGGTTTGTTGCAGAATCAAAAGTCCATGTAGATCTACACTGAAATGGCACCAAATGCCTGGGAATGCTTGCAATTGGCTTCAATTGTTGAATTTTTTTCCCGGGGGAGGGTAATGTTTGTCCCCGATCGTAGCATCTTCTTGGTTTTTTGCAGAATCAAAAAGTCTTTCATTGTAGTTACCGTACACTGAAATGGCACCAAATGCCCGGAAATGCTTGCAATTGGCTTCAATTTTTGAAATTTTTTCCCGGGGGAGGACCCCCGACCCCCCTTCCATGGCCGCCCCACCTCCAAAGTCGTTCCGACGCGCCTGGTACTATAGTATGTACATGGACATAGAGTATCAGCTTATTTACCCAACCTGCCTCACTGCACCACATTCATGTATCCTGTACTGTCTGCCTTGAGTCAAATGTCGGTGTACAAACTTTAGCTACCGCTTGTTTGTGCTTCAGCAGTGACGACGATTTCCTTTTGTGACCCACTGTTTTGTCACGGTGCGTTCTTCGGTGTCGCTTTTTCTCCGTCTTCGAAATCTCCTGCCCTTGCTCTCCGTTCGTTCATAAACTTCTTTTCCTTTTTCATCTCGCTGACACACATCTACATACAACACATACAACCGCACCAACACCTATGCAGGCACCTCAATGAACACCTATACCTCAGTACTGTACACGCACATTCCTCAACACACACCACACACCACACACCACCCGGTCCACTGGAAGTGTATCCTAGGTGTGCTTTCAAACAGGCAAGAGCATATCCACCCCCCCCCCCCCCCCCACACACACACAGCCCCATATTCTCGCACCTGCATGACCATTTGAAAGCTCAATGCCCTTCCAAGGCAAGCTAATGGGGTATCAGTACAATGTACCGGGCAGTGGAGGATGAACGCAATATGTCATATTGCGTTCATCCTTCACGGTAAACTTTGAGGTGCAATATCCTGAGGATGAAAAGTGTTGTTTTGTTGTCCTCTGTTGTGCAGCCCTTCATTTGTATGTACTGACCCTTGTGTTGTTGTTGTTGTTGTTGTTGTTGTTGTTGTTGTTGTTGTTGTTGTTGTTGTTGTTGCTGTTATTGTTGTTGTTGTTGTTGTTGTTGTTGTTGTTGTTGTTGTTGTTGTTGTTGTTGTTGTTGTTGTTGTTGTTGTTGTTGTTGTTGTTGTTGTTGTTGTTGTTGTTGTTGTTGCTGTTGTTGTTGCTGTTGTTGTTGTTGTCGTCGTCATCGTCGCTGCTGTTGTTGGTGTTGTTGTTGTGCCTATGTAACCACACATAGGTGATCTCTGACACACCCACGGTGGATCGCATGGAGCGGCATCTCAAGAGTCGTACCCGCCTGCTGGACTTGATCGGCAGTTACCCCAAGGTCAGTGTGACAGTATGACAAGGACTCATTCTCTTCTGGAGAAAACGTGTTGGTGATATGAGCTGGGATGGACTCGCAAGAGATGGTTTGGGAGATTTCACAATTTTGACGGTGCACAATCGTGGGTGATATCCATCTGCTTGAGGAGGCTCAAGCTAACCCACTCACTGCCTTGCAAAATGCTGCACATTACTGTGTATGTATGCAGATTTTGCATCTATGACCATGCTCTATGACCATGCTCTATGACCATGCTCTATGACCATGCTCTATGGTGATTGGAAAGTAAAGGAAAAGACGGTTTCAGCTTTTCACGACAGTAGAACATAATGCCATGGATGATGTATTTCAAGCGACCTACGGTTAACATGCAGCAAGTACACGGATGGAGTTGAGTGTATAGCCTCGTGCTTTGCGGCTGTTTCATGTGACATTGTATGAGCCTTTCTTTGCGTCTCTTTGTCTTGTTTCCATGGCAGGTTGTCCTGCTGTCTGGAGATGTTCACTATGCTGAAGTGAACTGCTGGAAATCCGAGCAGTCCAACCGTAAGTGTACAGGGATCACTCATTTAAGAGTTTGCATGTGCATGCATAGATAAAACGTGGTTTTGAGCAACCACCCTAGGGGGATGGTGTTGTAGTGAGGGGGTTGTTGTATTCTGTTGCGGTCTCTTTAAGTACAGGTATCCTCTGAAACCCCAGGGTGATCCGTGGACATTGAGTACATCCAATGCCAGTGAAAGCCACTCTCACGGACCAGATGCTTACTGACACAAGGTGGTTCCTTTGATGTGTGTACATGTATGCCGCTTGTCCCGTGCGCAGGGCATGCCGTTCATGAGCTGACATCCAGCGGTATGACGCACACCTGTCTCAACTGGGGTATTCCGCCACTAGACAAGCTCTGCCATCTCACTCTGGAGTAAGTGTGTCCTTGTAAAATGTGCTTGTTGTATTATTCAAACTGAGAAATATGTTCTGAAGATGAAGCTTGGATACAACTCCGCTCCAACATCCCAGCAAAAATTTCCTTATTTTCCGATGCGCCATTACAGTATATTCGATCCGGGCATACTGGAAACATTGTGCTCTGGGCAACATTTTCCCGTGTGTTGTTGATGAACTATCTTATTACCAATGTCCAAGCTTCACTGTGGAGCGGAGCTCACCATGGAATTTCGTAGCCAGCTGCTCGGAAGAATAGAGTTTTAAAAGAAGAGAGAGGAGTGGCAGAGGAGGTAACGAAGAAGGATTGCAATTTGATGTGGATGCGGTAAAGGGAGATATCCAACTGCGAGCTGTGACCCGAACATTTGCAACCAGGTGCCACCATGTCTGCTTGTTCAGTGGTCTAGGTCATCCACAGATTACCAGGATGATGTGTCCACCGCTAAAACATTTACCTCTTCATCCTGAAGGTTTTGTAATTTTGTTTGTTTATCGTTGTTTTCTGTTAACACTATTCCAACACAGGCTTGTGCTGCAATCTAAGTATAGGGTTTCACCACAGCTTCTCAAGAAGAACTTTGGCTCTTTGGAATTTGACTGGCAAGATGAAAAGGTAGGTGGCAATTATGCATAGAAATTTATTTGTGCTTAAGCATGTGTTGGTGGTAGCTTGCACAACCAACAAAATTCTTGTGCCGAAAAGTTACCAGTGTAGTTTTTAAAGATAATACAAGTACTCTAGCTTAGTATGTGGATTTATTGATGTCTTCTGGTTGGCAACGTAATTCAGTGACAGATCTAGGATGTCGAGAAAGGGGGGGGGGGGGGCTGTTGTGTTGTGACGAATATCCCCCCCCCCCCCCCTCCCCAGCTGGTCAAATTTTGTACGTGTATGTACTAGTGGTGAAACGAATATTCGAATATTCGAACATTCGTTCGGTTTGTCACATTCGAATATTCGTTAAAAGTCACATTCGAGTATTCGTTACGTCACTTCGAATGCAGTGCATGTACATACATGGACGCCGAACACGGTACAGTGCAGTGCGTACAGCCTGCCTGTGACTTTGTACTGCATGCATGCACATGTATGTCCATACTGGACTGCCAATGTTGCACATAACATTTATGAACTTCGAAGTAGCCTTATGTGGCAGTATATTTTACGTGGCACTACCGTTTGTCATACCTAATAATATATGTATTAGTATTGACAATATCCATCAAATGACTGAGAGGAAGGCATGTGATGTAATCAGTGTTACCAAAAGAATATTCGTTCATTCGTTCGTTAAGCTGAAGAATATTCGACTAGTAGGTTTTGACATTCGTTTCACCACTAGTATGTACTGTGTCAAATATGTAGGCACAAGCATGTGACTGTACACCATCAAGGTACCAAACTCTGTGATGCCAATAAATCAGTTTAGACATTGAAAAGGCCAGTGCTCTCGATTGACAGTATGTCTACATACATATACATGTATACACACCACTGTCTTTGTGTTCTTCTCTGGTGTGTGTGTCACATGACGCAGGGCAAGATGACCTTCAATGCACACAGTGCTGATGGTGTGGAGTTCTCATACCCAGTGACCGTTTCTGAGCTGAGTTCGGTGAGCTTTGCCTGCTGGCACGTATGTGTTTGAATTATATTTTGTGATGCGGATTAGAACTTAGTTCTTTCACTGGTTACCCTTACAGTCCATTCAGAAAAAAATGAACTTCTAGCTTTTGGCCATAAATGGGTCAAACGTTGAGTTTTTTTAGAATTTTTTTCTGCAATCCCATATGGAATCCTCTTCCAATTATGTTTCTGAAGTTTTTTTGTCCAAAAAGCAAGCCATAGCAAGAATAGGATTTCGGCCAGGTTTTGCCCCAAAAGCACTGAATTGGGAAAAACCATCAAAATCCAGGCCGTTTGACCCCGCCTGCAACAGTGCATTCTGCGGTTCGAACCCCAGTTCAGGCACCCTTTTTGGACCCTTTTTCAAATTTCAAAGTTCGCAGCACTGCACTGTGTACGATGAAATCACGAAAAATCGCCAAATACGGGAGCTCGCCAGAGCCAGGACCCATCTTTTTATGAATGGACTGTAGTTCCGTACATTGCACTGATGATCGGAACAGCAGGCCCGGAGCTAGCTCCTCAGTGAGGGGTGGTACGGCCCCAGGTCGACTACAGGGCCGATCATTTCCCCCCCCCCCCCGGCCCCATTTTGTGTCATGGAGCGATGCACCTCTAGGTCTATGCTGCACCACACCTGCTTGTTCTAGCTATACACTGTACATACCGCTAGCTACAGGTTCAAGTCCATTGTATGCAGTTACCACAGTAGTTCACAAGACACGAAGAATAGTTTAGGAGGGAGACTCAGTAGTGAGGATAGTTAAGTCGTTATTTCCACTTAATTGATCATACACGGACAATCTGTGAAGCTGGGATTGATAAAACTGGTGCGGCTATGGCCATACCAGCCGTACCAGTGGCGCCGGCCCTGACCAGTAATCGATTCCGTATATAAATAACAATACATGTCATGTACACCTACATTTCGAACAAGTTACATGTTGTGTGGTGATGCCTGCGGCCTTCGTTCTATTCAAAGCTTTAATTCCCGTAGCTATGCAGAAGACGTTACTTCAGTAACGTCTGGCGCTAGCCAGGGTCCACACAGCTTTAATTTGGTGTTTGTTTGTTTGTTTGTTTGTTTGTTTGTTTGTGTCACGCCTGGCGCTATCCCGTATCTGTACCGTACTGTACCGTACCAGCAAAGACAGCTGGCTACTATATGTTTGTTTGTTTGTGCCATCGACATGCCTGGCGCTATCCCCTACCTGTCCCGTACCATCAAGAGTACGGTACCATCAAGAGAATGAGTATGTATATGCGAAGTGTATCGGGGGAATGCATTCAGTGCAGTAACATTTTGAGTGGATTTGTGTGCGAGGCCGAGAACCCACTAGCAGGCTGGCTGGTCCGCCTGTCGACCAGCCCGGGGATCGCATGTAGGCTGATAGCATAATAATTATAACGTATCAGATTGAGTAATTTTCACGTATATACAGTCATGTAGATCTATAGCAGGGAGTCATATTATGTAAACGACTCCCAGCTGTATGGGGAGATTTTCTGAAAAAAATACGAAGTAGGGAGACGAGTGAATGCAATCAGAAAATCTCCCCATACAGCAGGGAGTCATATTATGTAAACGACTCCCTGCTGTATGGGTAGATTTTCTGAAAAAAGTACGAAGTAGGGAGACGAGTAAATGCAATCAGAATGGATGTTAGTTGCCGTCAGTATAATAATAAGAAGAAGAAGAACGCCCGTGATCGGCAGAGTCAGCGCCGGTCCCAAGAAACGTCAGGACAGACATCCCGTCGACTCCAGAACGCCCGTGATCGGCAGAGTCAGCGCCGGTCCCATAGCTATGCAGAAGGCGTTACTTGTACTTCAGTATCTCATTGAAACGTTTTTGCAATACAATGATGTAGCTAATCAAAGGAAAAAGCATTTCCATCAGTTCTAACAACATGCACGATGAGCTAGGCAACAAAGCATAGCGCAGGGCCCTGAGCTTCCAAGCTCTCTCGTTAAAGTATTGTCTCCTCGCAGATTGTCTTTTCATGTATTTCTTAGAAAAATTCTTTTACTTACCACATGTAGAATGGCTATATGCACTTCATGTATTTCATGTATGCACAATGTTTCTTGTTGTCTGCAGACTGTGGCAAAGTGTCCGCCGGTAGTCTCCAAGCCGCAGCCCGTGCACGTCTTCTGGTTCTGCTTTGCCGGTCTCTTCACCGGCGTCTTTGTGACCGCGTACATGTAAGGTGTTGCAGAGTTTCAAAATGACAGTATGTCGATTTGGTGCGTATGTTCGCACTTGAGTGCAATGTATTGTATGCAGTGTTCTCCCAGTGTAGCATCCTCTCACAGTGTGGCTATGGGCGCAACCTTTGAAAAACAAACATGAATGCAGTGTGCTGTGACCTGCTAGAGTGCTCAATGTCCGTGATGGCCAGAGTGTAGTACACACCAGATACACAAAGGAACGTAGGGCTTTTTGTCATAACACAGAGTTGCCGTGGTAACAACCAATCATCAGACATCAGGTTGTCTGATGATTGGTTTTTACCATGACAACTCGGAGTTACAGCAAAAAGCCCTGCGTTCCTTTGTGTAGCTCTTGTGTTAAAACGAACATACACCCATTTATGCATGTGACCAATATTTTTAAATGAAGTGACATCTCCTGTTGAAGCATGACCAGCAGCAACTCACCATTCACTGTACGGTGTACACCTAAGTGCTATCCATTGCTACATGTATGGTCAGTTTTGGTCACACAACCTTGCCGTGGTGATAATCATGCCGTTGACTTTCACTTAGTGCAGATCATCCACTACACACTTGTTGTGCGGCTGTAATCAATCCCAGTCTTGTGAAACTAGCAGCAGTGTCTCAAGCTGAGTTCACAGTGGTAATCTACTGACATGCTGGCAGCATGATTCTACAGTATTGACATAGTAGGCGATGGCTGGGCCCCCAGCGTGCTTCCATGCTCGTCCCTGTTATTCACTTTTTGCTGTATTCTTTGTACAGGTTGCTCCAGCTGTTCAAGTGTTTGCTGCAAGCCACCTCATCCATGATCCGTGGTTCACCCAGCTCAGGCACCAGCAAGAAAGTGCAGAAGAAAAGGCAGTGATCGTGTCCTGCCTGTTCGATGCTCTACGTCATCTGCTTCCACGCAGTCTGTCCTTGTCACGCGCAGGTGGAGCATATCAACCGTTGTCCCGTCACAGCCACGTAAGCTGAAGTGTTGGGTTCCTTCCATGCCGAGCCAGTGCCTGCACCGTGGCTCATCTACCCCCGTATCGCCGATCTCTTATTGGTGATGGATACTGTTCTCTCTTCATTATACCCTAGGGAAATCCCCTGTGCTGGTGCTCTCACTTCTGCAGTCAGGGGGCACTTCAGAACTTTCCGGCCTGTAACGCTCCACTTTTTATCCCCGAATGTCCCTAGCCAATTTGGCTCTTGCTTTGAGTTTAGCTCAGCTGTACGTGTATGCTCAACGTTACGAAAACAGTGCAAACATACCACTGTGGTCGTGACATACCGCAATTGCGTGTGCTTTTCTTATAATAGTGCGGTATCTATGCCGGATGTTTTTTAAATTTTGAAATTCGCTTAGTGAGATAAAATTGATACATTGATAGCTTTCTGATCTGATTTGAACAAGTATGGGTGCAGGCTGTTCGTCAATGGTAGCACACAGGTACGTGTTGCGGGAATCGATGCTGCGGCATGATACTTGTGTTCTGCAGCTGATGCAGCAGTTCTGAGTTGAAACTGATGCAATCTTTAAAAATAAATGAATACTTATGACGGGTCCGCATACTGGGTACGTCAAGACCAGCCACTCTTCCACAGGGCACCACCACCCTACGAACAGGTGTTAGATGCAGTTCCTAAATGATTCGCTTGGAAGGCATGTAGAAAAAAGTCAAAGATACAGCCATGAAGCGCTGGAGGCGGAACAAGCTCACACATGCCTAGGCTGTAGCTGTCTGCTTGGTGTTGACTCTGTTGAGCGTGTGATCTTCCCTGGTGGGTTGTCACAAAGGGACCAGTCCCCCGAGTGGTACTAGCAGTTGGGTTTGTGCTGGGATGAAGATCTTCCCCTTCCAGGCAGGATCCCACTCCAGTCAGCCTAGCGAATACTAACATGGGCTATAACAACAACTTGTGAATAACAACGCTACAATCTATTCATCGGAAACAGTCCCGCTGGCTTTCGAAAGTCAATTTTTAAAGTCATACATTTTGCCATGGCATACCTGTCCCAATTTTGTAAAACCTGTCTGAATTGTTTTATTTCCCTGTTCTTGGACTTTCCTGGCCTCGATTGTGGCAAGGACTAATTAGCAACCATTCGACTGCCTCTTTTCAGCCTCGCAGACAATGACCACTCGCGAGTAGCAACTCTCATGTCTGATGAAGGGTCACTATTCCGACGGCAAGGTCAACTGTACATTGGGCTGGCTCTCGTTCACCTGGAATGTTTGACACGGCACATCTCATAGTAGCACTTCGTAGTTTTCAGGCTACACAAAAAGGACGATATACAAAACAAAGTAGGGTGCCTACGATAAAAAAATTGTTACTCTAAAAGTGGATATATGCCCACTCGCTTGTGGACGGTCACAGCTGCAGGTACATGTAGATCTACAACATTGTGTTCCACGTTGTGACTCCTATGGTGTCTGTGCACATAGAGAAGAGAGAATAATATTGAGGGAGATACGAAATAAAATAGATAGGAATCATGCAGTATCAAAAACTACACGTTCCTAGGAGAAGAATACTAGTTTGGTATAAACGGCGCATGTGTGACATATTGTCAGTGTGTATGCGTGTGCGCATGTGTGGGTGTGCACGTGCGTGTTGTGCTACCTGAAAAGTAAATAGATATATCAGATTTCATGTGCCAGTATTAGTAGTAGTACATGTCGGACGTTGCAATATGACGGAGCGATTTATTTAGACGGGGTGCATGACTTTGGGTATCGTTTCGTGGACAGAAGTTTCCGTGCTTTTCCTATTTTCTTGAGCTGTGAGGTGCCAAGCAGGATCTGCGAGGAAATGCTCGAATTGCTGGTGGAGGACAGGAGAGGCGCATCTTGCTGATGCTTAGTGCCCCCATGCGACGAGTCAACATTGGTGGAGTCTTTGCTCGGCATGTTGGAAGGTTTCGTCCAGGCTGCTGCTGGTGGCTGACAGGCGTTGTCCTTCTTGGCATGTGCTGCATGGACCTCGTGTCCCGAAGTGCTCCACGCCCTGTCTTTGCTATTTTCGTCGGATTGATGGCAGGTGCTGGAGCTGCAAAAAGGATATAAATAGCATTCACGCAGATACAACGCCGTCACCTCATGGTCCAAGGTGTAGCGACCCTTGAATAGCTATATAAATTCCGGTATCACGCCAAAGAAACTGCCACAAAACAGAGTCACGACTTATTTCACGGGTTGACCAATTGGGGGAAAAGAATTTCGCGAGACCAGTTACAACTTTTTGGACAGTGCGACACGTGTGCGGTGCACTGCAGTGATGTATGGAACAATTGTGCCGTAGGATACACAAATGAGACACTTGAGCTGTTGGCACTTGGCTAAGACTGTGCCCACACATGCAATTGGGAGGGAATGGTGACTGCAGGTAACATACGAATTCAGGGGTGTTTTAAACATAACACTAGTGTGCAGTATAGATTGTGTTTGAACGGAAATCTATTCACCTGATCACAGTCTCTGGCGGCGGGCACTCATCCTCGGTAGAGACAGTCCGTGGTGTAGTGAGATCTGCAGTGCCAGCACTACAGGACTCGTCCCAGCTAACGGAGGTCTCCTTGGTATCCTCACACTGTAGTAGCATTGGCGAGGTGGCAGAGGTCACGTCTTGATCAACTATCGCTGAATCTGAGCTAGTTGTGCGCTTGAGTAGTAATACCTCATCATCAGCGTCACGGCCGCTTACTTTCTCACTGGTCGAGGGCAACAGGTAGCCAGCAGCTGTCTTGTTGGAAAAGATGCAGTTAAGACGAGGCCGGTATGGTACTAGTGGCTCAGCGGGTGTGTCTGAATGGCTTGCCGGGGCTGGTTTGCGACTGCTCTCGACCAGTTTGCTCGCCAATGGTTTCCGATCGTCTTCTCCATTCTGCGGGCTGACTTCAGTGCACCCGTCAGTCTCTGTGTCGTGATAGCAGATTTTCTTGGACGATGCCGGGCGAGCCTGTGTGCTTCCCCGCCTAAACATGACAAACACACAAGGTGCACTTGTCACACTGACGGCAGCGGAAACCCTTTCTTTCGTGAGGTACTAAAGACGTGCCACCATATCCACTTTCCAAGAATACTATTCACAGGCAAATGTGCTAATAAAATAATAACTATGGCACTATGGCACATTCAGAAAGTGGTGGACATCATGGCACATGTACTGTAAAAGCAGAATTTTGTTGGTTTATTTCTGGTAACTTCGGAGGAGAGCACACCAAACTGAGCGATACTGAAAATAATAGGCTACCAAAAGTCTGAAACCCCCATGTTGGTGTAAGATACAGAAATTAATACACCATCGAAAATGTCTGCTTTTACAGAAGTACATGCAGTACAGTGTATTAGAAGAGAAGGATGACTGGGAAAATAACCACCTACGTCTGACAAGAAAGGGGGAGAGGAGTGGGGCCCACATGCAGTCGCACAGCGATGCCTTTTCCGAGTTGTTGGAAGGAGGCCATACCTTTTGAAACGGAATGCTGCTGCAATACGTGTTGGCGATGTTGACACCTTTCCCGCCTCTTGAAGCAGAGTTGTTTCCGACGTGGTGGCTGGTAACCAGATCTTGCCCTCCTGTGTACAGGTAAAGAAAGCAACAAGCCTTAGATATCTAACTCGGATGCTGAGCCGATGATAAATGTAAACTAGAAGAGAACACATGGGAACGAGTTGTGAAGCAACTGTCCACAACTGTTTCTGTCTGCTTAAAATCTTGTTTAATACAGTCACGGACAGTTGCTTCATAACTCGTTCCCATATGTTATCTTCTATTTTACCTTAGATATCTGCCTACAATTGACATGCAAGAACTTATCTGTTTAGGAAACTGCCCAAAGAGCGCAGAGACGTGCTCACACTGAGGACAGAAATTACTTTCCCCTCCAAAGACCCCCATTTCCCCTGAAATTAGCAGCACACTGAGATGGCACTTTAATGCCGGTGTAACATAGTACAGTCCCCCCCCCCCCCCCCCAGAATTTGTCCCCCCGGGCAATCTGCTATATAGTATATTGACCCCCTGGGGAAGAGTACTTCGAAGTACTATATAGCAGGTTGACTCCCCGGGAAGAGTACTACGTCGCACTTTTACCCCCGGGAAAATGGCTATGTAGTGGATGTCCCCCTCGCCAGTCAAAGAGAAGGCTCAGGGCCTAGGCTAGGGCTGAGCTATCTGTGGGAGGGAGTAGTACACTACCGGTATTTTACTACTCATTCACACGTGCATTTGAATTTTTCAAGTAAAGTTCCTTCAGTTCCAGATTTCCCTGTCCTTTGTGGCTTTCGTTTTCAGATCATTTTAGTTCGAGTGACGTTTACTTTCAGCTCGTTCCTTCCTTCTCTGCATTGTAGTTCTGCCATGGATCTAGAAACGTATGAGGCAATAGGCCATTACAAAAATACTGGCGCCTACCCCAGATCCATTGCCGATATGGACGACAAGGTAGAACGTAGAAGCAAAAAACTTGAAGCAGAACTTCAGGAAGAAGTTTGACACTGTCTTAGTTCAGGATAGGGTGCTGTTTCACTCACCAACGAAGCGGCGTCCAAACTCAATGCGAGAGGTCCCAAAGGAACGGGACAAAGACCGTAGTGTGCGTGCTGCTCGTGGTTATAATCTAGCAGGAGGCTGCCACTTTCAATAAGATCTTGGAGCGTTACTGGTGGAAAGCAATGTATGATGCTGTGCTGTGGAGAAAGTTTCTACATGTACATGCGAAGCGTGGGGTATGGATCTTGCTGGCATACTGAAGTTGACACCAGATGGCCAACAGTACATCGTGGTGTTCACCAAGTATCTGTGCTGGAGGGCCGAAACCAAGACAATCCCAGATAAGTGTACATCAACCGTGTCTGCAATGCACTCATTCAGTGCGTTGTTTCGAGGTTTGGCTGTCGCGACACCATTATCAGTGAGCAAGGCCGAGAGTTTGTGAGCAACGGGAACGAGCTGCTGTGCAAGGACATGGAGGTAGAACAAAAATCTGCAGTGCTTATTATCCACTGTCAAATGGTCTCACGGAGCGATTCACCCGAACCCTTCTTCGCCCACTTCGACAGATGGTGATAGAATCCCAGAATGAGTGGAATAGTATCACAGCAGCAACAAGCAATCATCCACAAAGCTGTCTCCCTACTTTATTGTATACGTTCAGCTGATGCGTTCACCTGTTGAGCTTCACTCTGCCGCTAGTACCCAGTCAAATATCTATCATCCTGACAAAGAAGCCAAGAAGAGGTTTTTGAAACATGCTCCCAAGCACGAAAGCGCTTCAGCTAGCTTCCATTATCTGATTGACTGTGGGGATAATCCCAATCCAGGAGCAGAGTATCTTGTAGCAACAATGATGCACCACCCGGGAGTGTGGGGTACCACTGATGAGATTTCGGCCGTGGCTGACTGGCTTAACCTTCCAGTAGTTGTAAGATGCCAGGTTGGTGCCAGACTCTAGTGGCACAGGTATCCACCCAAGAAAGTACTCCTACTGCTAAGGTTGTAGCAATGTTGCCATCTACTTAGTCAACTCGTCTGATGTGCTTTGGAAGAGTCACAAATCAAGATGTTTCTTTGATCTAAGCAAGGCCTTCGACACAGTATGGACACGCGGGCTCCTATACAAGCTGTCGCGCCATGGAATCCATGGTACTTGCTTCACGTGGCTCAGTACTTACCTGACGGGCAGACAGCAAAGGGTGCGTGTCGGCTCTGCTCTGTCTGCCAAAGGGCATGTACGGTCTGGAGTTCCTCAGGGATCAATCCTGGGGCCTCTCCTCTTTCTTATGTATGTAAACGATCTGGCAGAAATGGATCACACATCACTATATGCTGATGATACAGCACTACTTGTGACAGCACCCACTCTCCCCGAGGCTAGTGCCAAGTTACAGTCCAACATAGATGGCGTTATTCATTGGATGGAAAAATGGAAATTGCAGCCCAACTCTTCGAAAACTGCTGTAATGTGTATCCCCCCCCCCCCAGTTGTTCCTGTGACCTATCTTCATTAGAAGCCAGTCCCTTCACCTTTCCAGGCACCACAACCCCGCTCTGCATCGCTGAAAAACACAAGCATCTTGGCGTCATTATTGACCAACACTTAACCTGGAAATCCCAGATCGAAAATTTAGACAGCCGTGTTAGCTCAGGAATGGGATTTCTCTCATCACACATCACCCACCTCCACACCGACTGTCGCCATGTTATCTACACATCTTACATTCTGCCTATTTTTGATTACTGCTGCATAATTTGGGCTGGCATTTCTAAAACACTGATTGCTCGACTCGAAGTTATGCATAGGCGTCTTTTGAAAATATTATTTCGGCTTCCTCGCCTGACTCCAAGCACAGACTTGTACCGCCTTGCTTCTGCTGTGCCGCTCTCGGTCCGCGTGCGTTTTTTGGCATGCCAGACAATTCATAAAATTAAGCTGGGCATTGCTCCTCTTCATGCTCTCTCCTGCCTAAGCTGGTTTGCTCAATCTCAAGACATGCGCACCAGAAACTCTCTCCGCTTCCCTATTGCGCGGTCATGCAAACATCTCCTCTCTTCATTGCTTACCGCCATTGGTCTCTCCTCCCACAACATCTAAAATCCTGCCAATGTTACAATACATTCACACAGCTACTGCAGAATGCAACACACTAGTTGATATCCAGCCCTGCCCTAGCTTCTCTTACTTTTCAGTTCCCCTTTCATTCTTTTTCTTTCTCCCCTCTAGCTCTATTACCTCCATGGCTGGCTATCGCCCACATCACCATTTCATTGGCTAGTGCCACGTGATTGTGAATAATAATAATAATAATAATAAAGTGATGCTTACCAGTACTTCAGTAGCCAGATGCTGAACATCACTTGCTGTCATTATGTGAAGCTGTTTCTGCTTTTGGTTTTCCCAACTTGCACTTCTCCCAGCTCTGCACTTCCCTTTTTGGCCCTGCTTACCCTGAAAGAACATAACCATGCACTGCTTGAACTTTACAATTTCTTGGTTTCCTCAGCTGATGCCTTTTCATGCTCTGGTCCCATTGTGTGTCTCAGAATGTGTGTGTGTGTGTGTGTGTGTGTGCATGGTGTGTGTGTCTGTCTCCCTCTGTCTCTGTCTCTCTCTCTCTCTCTCTGTCTCCCCGTGTCTCTGTCTCTGTGACTCTCTCTGGCTCTCTATGTCTCGCTGAGACTCTCTCTCTCTCTCTCTCTCTCTCTCTCTCTCTCTCTCTCTCTCTCTCTCTCTCTCTCTCTCTCTCTCTCTCTCTCTCTCTCTTTCTTTCTTTCCCTCTCATCGTCACTGTCTGTCACAGCCCAAAACGGGTGCATGTGCTAATGGCCTGCTGAAGTGCATTACTAGCATGATTCTCTTGTAGCAAGCTGCCGCGCGCGCGTGTGTGCGTGTGCGTGTGTGTGCATGCTTGTATGTGTGTGTGCATGCACGTGTGTCTGTGTTTTTACTAATGCTCTGCTCGCCAGGATAATGTTCATGTGCGCAGCCAGTGTTTGCTGGCAACAAAGGCTTCCTTTATGTACAAATGCATGCTCATACTATTTGGGATGCTTACTGTTTTTCGTGCCATGGAAAACAGCAAAGCATCCCAAATAGTATGAGCATACACTTGTACACTGTGTACATAAAGGAAGCAAGTTCATGTCTTTCTGCTGATCAATTTGTCATCTCGATGGTGTTATAATTACGAGTACTGAGTATACTTGGTACTCATAAGTTGAGGGAATGGAAAGGGGAAAAGTCTAAAGAAAAAATTGACTGTCACCACCAAAATTATACATGTAGAATATTACCCTAAGAAAGTATGCTCATTGCGAAGTAATTAGTTGTCCTTCTTTTGACTCGAACCATTGCTCGTGTAGATGTATATATCATTGGGTTCAATTGGTGGCGAGAGCTAGAGGTCAGCGTAAATTGTTTGGGGTGGAATTCGGCACGAAATCTACGCTGAGTACTTTTTGACGACAAATTGTGTTGTGTTGGTCTTGAGAACTCTGGCAAGAAAGCGAAGAAAAGGATTATCGCTTGGAGCTTTTCTCGAAACTGAGGGCAGTCAATGCCCACACACACCGAAACATTGCCTCGGATCAAGACTATATCGCCGGAGAAGCTCTTGTCATTGTTGTGGTCGAGAAATAAAGCAGTTTTTGGCGAAACCGTATTGAGCTAAGTTTCAAATTTCCCAGGCATGTACTGTACATATGGTCTTGTTCTCTTCTCTACTACAATGTCATGTACCTGGTTCAGTGATGTGTGTGTGTGTGTGGGGGGGGGGGGGGGGGGGTGGGGGGCATTCTGCTGCATAGTAAAGTTCCCGGGGGTACAAACACTGCATAGTAAAGCTCCCCGGGGGTCCAATCACTATATTCCGGTGCATAGTACTTTTCCCCCGCGCTGGGGGGGGGGGGGGGATAGTACTATGTGACACCGGCATACAGGGTCACCGCTCGCCGCAGGCATACATACACGCCTGAGGTTTCCCTTAGTTACCTTGGCCCGACACAGCGGGTATAGAATCGTGCAGGAGAAGTTCTTGGCTGCGCCGGAGTCACCGCTCAAGATGCCGCGCAGGTGAACAGGATTCACGGCGGCGACAAACTGCTGCAGTTCACTGAACGATGAATGGTCAGAGTATGGAACCATCTGCAGGGGCAGAGGGGAAAACAACCTGCACTGTTACTACGAAGTACCCACTGTACAGCAACGCGGATGAAAAGAACATCAGTAGAACTGTTGATCTGGTACAGTTGCTACTACTCAATCTAAACAGCATATGGACAACTATCTCGGTATTAAATACACACATGCCCCACGCGCACACACGCACACATTTGGCAAGATACTGCTGTTGTAAACAGCTCCCACTTCTGTGCGTACATGGCACTTGCTGTTGGAACCTTGTCCAATGTCTGTTGGTCGCTTGGCCGTCAGCAGGGCAGTGGGCCGGATGACAATGTCTCCATACCAGTCAGATTCCAACCTACGTACAACATCCACATAAACACACACCCATCCACGCACGCACGCACGCACACACACACACACACACACACACACACACACACACACACACAATGCATGCGCAAATAACACCCATTAGTCCTGCTTCTACTGCTTCAGAGTGCCGCATCAGAGTTGTTTCCTTGACAATTTCACTGTAAGGATTGGTTCACATAAGCCAAATCGGCACCGGGAAGCACCGGCGGTGAGCCAGCTCCCGATCCGTCCCGCTTACGGTTCGAGTACCAAATCTACTACAAAGTACTGTAAAAGCAGAAATTTTCGGCGGTGTAATATTTTCGGTATTTTCCAAAATTGGCGGTTCGGTGGAGGGGAATTTTCGGCAAAACCCGTTTTCCAGGTAAAGGTACTGCATGTATACAGTACCGGTAGTACCGAAATTTTTGGTGCATTTTATTTTCGGTAAAAATTGTTGGCACCGAAGTTACCGAAAATAAAACACCGCCGAAAATTTCTGCTTTTACAGTCGTACAGAATGTGCCCAAATGCTACGACAGGTTTGCCAATTGAAGCTTGAATTCTTTGTTTCTTCAGTAGTTCAAGGTCTTTCGGTGATGGCCACCCGGTGCTACCTTTTACTGGAGATCATGAAACTATTTCTACACCTTTTATTGCAGTCTAGTAAGCGATGGTATCAAAATTATGCATGAAAACGTTGATGAAGTCACAAGAACTTGCCAATGCATCCTTCGTATTTTATATTTGTTTCAATTGTATTTGTC